CTCCTTCTTTTTCACTGTCATCTGTATTTTCTTGTTCTTTATCTTCACATGCACCTGAGTTATTCTGTTGCCCAGTCATTGGTGTACAAGAGTGATCTTTCCTGTTTTCTTCGGACCTCTCCATGTCCACTGGCTCAGGGAAGTTAGTTTCCACTGGGTCCTCATCTGCTTTATTTTTAAGGCCTTTTACATTTTGCTGGCATTTACAAATGGCTGGCAAATGTTCATCTAAATTGGAAAAAAGGAAGAAAGGCTTTTGCAGTGGTCTATGTAAGCAGCATCTTGAAATGTATTATAAGGCCTTACAGTGTTTTTCATATTCAGTGCTTATTTCACTGAGGGTCTATACTTTAGAAATACTGTATATACCATAAGAACTGACCTATTTTTCTTCTTTTTAGTATCGATCGACTACACATTTTATTTAAATATAAATTATTCTTTTTATAATATAAAGCCAAGTAAACAGCGTATCTCACACTAAGAATCAGCCTACCCACATGAAATTAGTAAGAACCATACAATTTTGTCTTTAAAATGCTCACACATGAGATTTTATACAGTACAAATGTACTATGCTAGAACATGTAAAAAGCAACAGAGAGTCCTGTGGCACCTTTAAGACTAACAAATGTATTGGAGCATAAGCTTTCGTGGGTGAATGCCCACTTCGTCGGATGCATGTCCATTTAGAAAGATCTACTTTTCTTTCTCTCTCTCCACTGGGATATTTGTTCCTCTTCTCAGCACACATTGGAACAATCAATATCCTATTGCATGGTTGCAATTTTGGGTACATTACATGGGAGTTGTACTTATTATAATCCTTTTACAGATGAGCAAACAAGGGGATTAATTAATTTAGCCAAGGTCACACAGCAAGTCAGTAGCAAAGTACCCAGGCATTATAATGTCTAACTATTAGACAATACTGTTTCCCAATGGGAGTTGTACTGTGCAAGATTTCATGTGTAAATTACATGAAAATCTGTCTTGTTTGAGCCCTTTTCAAATAGATTTTAAAGAGCAAGGACAATAGATTATAGTAACATCTACTTAACCAGGATTAGTTCAGCTATTATACTTTATTAATTTTCAGAAATATATTGTTCTCATTTTTGTCCATACTATAATTTCTACACACAACAAGTCTGAAATAAATTTGGGACATTTAAACAACACCACCTATGCCTGCACATTCCCAGAAAGTGACAGGATAGCAACACAACAACAAATCAAGGCTCAGGAAGCAATCACCTCTGTTTATAATTATTTAATATGGATGTCTTGGCATAAGCAGAAAACTAATAGCCCAAGCAGGAAATAGCTTTAGGGAACTAAGATGCACTGATATCTGTCTTTAATCTTGTTTTAATTATGTTACTATAACTCAAGTATTTCTAGAAAATGTCTGGAAAATTACCAGCTGGGACGCTTGTGCTGTACATTCAAACTAACCATTTCATGAACTTACATTCTCTGGCATCTGAGCTTTTTCTGCCCTTGCAGCTTTTTCTTCTCTTTCTGCTCATTTCTGAGACCTGAGGACATCCAGATTTTTACTCTCCTGGGTGGGGAAAAAACAAAACAAAAAACCATTGAATCATTAAAATTATTCCCTATTCAACTGCAAGGTTGCTTTCTTTTCTCTAACTTGGCTTCTCTTCCTGAGTCCATAAACCCACTGATTGGAATTCTGAATTGGAAATAGGAACTTGAGCATCTAGTTGTTTCACTTGGTCATTCAGGGCCAGATTTTCAAATCTATTTAGACGCTAGGGTGACCAGATGTCCCGATTTTAGGGTCTTTTTCTTATATGGGCTCCTATTACCCCCCATTCCTGTCCCGATTTTTCACACTTGCTGTCTGGTCACCCTATTAGATGCTAAGGATGCAGATAGGGCCTACTCGGATTTTCAGAGGCAAAGTCACAATCTGATACCTGGTTTCGCCCTTGTTTTAGGATGTATGGTGGAAATAACTCTCACCAGCCTCCTACCTGGTGCAGCTTACTTCCTCATCTGTGCTGGGGGTGCAGTGGAGGTGGGAGGGCTGAGCCAAAGCTCCATCCACTCCTTGCCCTTTTGTATTGGAGTGGGTGTAGCAACCCCAAGGAGGCTGCTCTCCCACCAGGGCTGCTACCCACAATGTGGGTAGTCCACGCAAGGGAACAAGAGAACAACTTACATCACCGTGTGCATATGCAGTGTAGTTATAGCCCTTTTTAAACTCACACAGGAAAATGATAAAAGACAAAAACACCCTATCACCTGTGGGTGAACACTTTTCACAAAGCGATCATTCCATAGCTGACCTATCAGTCCTCATCTTCAAAGGAAACCCCTACAACACTTTCAAAAGACAAGCCTGTGAGCTCTGCTAGACACTAAAAAATCATGAACTGAACAGACACACTGGATTTATGGCTTATTAAAACAATCTGTAACCCCCTAACCCCCTCTTTTAGTCCTATGATTGCAGAGGTGTTAATGAGCCACTCTACCTTGAATGACCCTTTAAAATATGTGCTAACTACACCTTGCATTGTGCTGTGAAGCCCTACCTTTCCCAGACCTGAAGAAGAGCTCTGTGTAGTTCCAAAGCTTGTCTCTCTTTCTCACTAACAGAAGTTGGTCTAATAAAAGATATTACCTCACCCACCTTGTCTCTCTGACCACCTTGTCTAGTCACATAAGACAGCACACAACTGAGCCACCAACAAATTAAAAACCCTTGAGAGAAGCAGTGCCCATCTTCCCATAGAAACTTCTCCTGCAGCCCTCAAAGCATACTTTGTCTGTGTTTTGTAAAGAGTGCCTTATAAATAAACAATAAATGCATTTATCAACAATTAAAATCCTATATAATTTAAGCATGGCCTTGTAAATTGCCAGTGTGGCTGTTGGTGCTTACACTGCCTGGTGGCCACTGTTTAGAGTGATTAGGTTTGTATGAAGGCTTAGAAAACTTGGTTAAAAAATTGAGATTGTCAGGGCAAGTATTGACGTTAGCATTGGAATACAATATTTTATGATTCAAGCTGAGTTTGAGAAAGCAGTTGTGTAGTGAATACATTGCTTTCTGATGGGGCATTTCAGCCATATCACTTGTTTGATGTGCTATTTAAAGAGTGCTTTTTTTTTTTTAAAATGAACATTTTACCGGACAAGGATATGATGCTCTCTAGTTCTAACAAAACAAAACAAAAGGTTGAATACGAGCTGTGCGCACACATATAGAAGCACCTCCTCTCCTGATGTAAAACCTGCTAAATGTAAGATTAGATTTCAAGTTAAGGCTAGTTTGGTGTGTCAAACAAAAGAGAGTGCTGCACACAATTCATTGGGGTGCAGCTCCATTACAAAGTAGAAGTTTAATTTCCTTTCAGTTTTGTTTTGTTTTTTTAAGAATTTTCTAAATCTCTCCATACAGGAAGTGTCACTGTCTGGGTGTATTATGCTCTGGGTGTATAAGCTTAATTCAACAAATATCACTACTAGGGAGGAAGTGTGACCAAGTCGATAGTGCACTAAACAGGAACTCTGGTGACCTGGATTCTATTCTGACTTATTTTTCAAGCTTCATCATGCAATAGTGGTATCAACCAGTAGAAATTGCCATGGTTTGGCCTAATGGCAACTCTAATTCCTTCTTGATGAAGCAAGAGATTTTGGCTTGTGGTCTAAGGCTAAGGTCCTGCTCTGGGTGGCCCAGATGGTTAAAATTGGCTTGATGGCTTCTTTCCCTGACTAGGAAAGCTGCATCATTGTGTGATTTAGTCAGGGTGATTGGCTACAGCTACCCCTTTGTGATAAAGACTATTCTTGTTTATCAATTTACGTTTGTGGATTGTTATTTATTAAAGTTGTGGACTCTGTGTCTCTGTTCGATCCCGGGGGTCAGAAAACAATTGGCAAGTAAATCCTAAAAAGCACATACATGATCCACAATAATGTTGCTATTTCTCCTACTTCTGATATTATTTATACTTCTTCCCCCCCCCCCCCAGATTCATTGTTTCAGGTAAGAGAATAGGCAAAAGTCTTATGGTTGAGGTGACTGCTGGGTGTCTTTTCCTTCATGGCTTTTTCACTGTGCTTCTTCTCACATGTTATTTTTTCCTTTCACTGTACCAGTGTACCTACTTGTTTTTTGGTGGTTCCACATCTTAGATTTGTAAATTTTGATGAGAATTAGGAATCTTATCACCTGTAATCCTTAGTCACATGAGCAATCCCATTGATTGCAGTAAAGATTACTTGAAGGGATAAGGATTGCAAGATAAGACCCTTAACTAGGACTCAATTCTGTACATTGCTGTGAACTTCCTGCGAAACGCTGAGCATTGACAACTCTCATCAGCTCCAATGGGAGTTAAAGGTGCTCAGCAGTTTGCAGGATTGAGCCTGAGATGTACTGGCATCGAGCTCTACGTGCTAAGGTTATTCCTGATCTAAGCAGCAGCACTCTGGCTGGCTCAGAATAAGTGACTAGTATTTATATCTCCTTAACTAACAGACATGAGTGAAAGATTATCCACAACCACAAAGCTAATTAAAGCTTCTGTCCATATCTTTGTTGTGAATACCGTTCTAATTCCTGTTCATAATAAGGGGCAATGTATTTCATTACTTCTTACAAGCCTTGGTATTAACTCTCTTAGACCAAAGAAACAGTCTTAACAACATATATATTTTGAGATCCCACTGTTCTTTGTTAGGTATGAATTGCTGTAAGAATTTTTTTTTCTTGTTTAACTGGTAGTAGGAATTTAAATTTTAGGCTGTGGAACACAGTTAAATCTATTTTATTATGTTTAAAAACGTGACCTTCTTCAAGATAGCAATAAATATTAAAAACATGTAGTGAAGTGACATTACACTAATGGTCATTGGTTTGAAAGGAAAAAAGATAGAGGAAATTAATGAAAAATATGGAGGAACAAAGTATAGTGTAATAATATTTAACTAAAGAAGAAACAATGAATCAGTATTAATTTTTTTATAGCAGTGAAGAAAAATACCTTTGTAAAATGTTTAACATTCTTTCAGGATAAAAAATAGCTTCAAAGTAGTGTACATTCTTTTTTGTAATTAATTATAGTTATGTTTTAGATGGCCTAGCTGTACCCATAATACACACAGCAATGTTACATTGAACAGTCCTATTCAATCCTTTAGCTAAAATGTTTCACATTCCAGAAACATATAATGCTGGTGATTGCACAATAGTCAGCTCTCCTAGCTACCCAAAATGTCATTGCTAAAATCACCTGCCTCTCATCTTTCCTTCCTCTCCCATATGAATCTCTTACCAGGCCCTAAATCATTTCCTGTCTTCAAATTCAACAGCCTTGTCTTCACATTCAAGGCCCTACATAAACTTATCCCTATCTACTTCTCTGTTCTCATTGCCTTGCATTACCTCTCTCACTCCCTAAGCTCCTCAATATCCTCTCTCTCCTTACTGTTGTGTTCATCTCCTTTTCCAACTTGTCTTTGCTCCTTGTATCATGTTGCCAGCTACGTTTGGAACAGTCAGTCACTGCTTGTTTCCCACGTATCCTCTCTCTCTCTCGCTCCTTCTTCGAAGTCATTCTTAAAACCCACATTGTTCCTGAATACTTCCTATGTTGCTCTCCTCACCCAAAATCAGCTGATCTCTACACCCATTTTTGTTCTGTTGCATCTTGTCTGTATTCAGATTTAAACTCTGTGTGTTAGAGAGCAGATCTTGTTCTTCATCTTGTAAAGTGCCATGTACATTGATTGTACTCTACTACTAACAATGATAACCTTACAGATAACTCTAATTAGGGTCCAATCATTCCATCAAGTTATGTAGGTAGAGAGATTCATATCCTTGATACCTTTCATATTTTCTCATATGCCTCGTTCCACACTGCCTCTTATTCTAGGAATGCCCTTCCAACATCTATCTGTTCACCAAACCATCACTGTCAGCTCATTTAAATCACTCCTAAATAGCCATTTCTGCAGGATGGCCTGCAAAAAGAATTTTTTTTATGTTAAATGCACAAACTCACACACACAAGAAAAAACACATGCGCTGCCAAGACATGTAGGCCTCAATTAAGTAATGTTTTTCTTATCTCTTGCCTCTACTGCTCTACACCTTATTCCCACTTGTCTTAAGTTTTCATTTATATTGTATGCTCTCCAGAGAAGAGAAGAGACCTGGCTTTCTTTAAAATATCTTCAGTGGAGTGCCTAGAACACTCACTGGTACTATAAAATCACCACAAAAGAAATGGGAGGCAAGGCAAATGGGTGAAACCTTTGTTCAACAAGATCCTGAAACATTTCACAAAACATGGAAATAATTTGCTCACAGAAATACAGCCTCCACTTAGACAGAAGTGTAGACAGACAGAAGGCCTCCCGAGTGTAATTACTAATATTATGGGTAAAGGATTGTCTGGTTTGTTTTACATCTGGTTTATTTGGTTCAGTTTTCTTCAACAATTTGAAGCATCCAACAACACTACATGCTGGTTCAGAACAGGCAATAAACAAGAATAGCATATCCAAATGAAAGTGTAGGTATGGGAATTATTCTCAAACTGAGGTCAGGCCAACACACCATGATTAACACTTCTATCCATATGAAATATCCCATGAGATTTTTAATAGCCAAAGATATTTGGGTCTTGGTTTTCCATCTCACCCAAAACAAGGTACCTCCCACTGCACAGTGCCTCCCAACACCATACTGAATCGCAGGAAAGTGTACTACCTATAGAATTAATAACATCACTTATGCAGCACATAGGGTTTGTCAAGAGGTCCCCCAAACAAATTACTCTAACTTAGCATGGCTAATACTGTAACAAAATGAAAATGGAATAATCTAACATCAGACTGATAGTGTGAAACAGCTTTAGATTGGCAGCTTGGAAGCTGGTCGTGCCAAATTGATGGTAGCTTTCATGTAGTCCTTCACACGGAGCCAAACCCCTTCATTGTATTAAGAGCTGAAAGTAGAAGTTATTTAAATGTTAAAGAGGACTTTATTTTAACTGAGAATTAGAAGTAGTTTAAATACAGGCAACATTACATTTAAAATTATACTTGGGCTGTCACTGGGGGGCGGTGACAGGAAAGGGAAGACTTTTTTCCCCCTTTCCTTTTAAGAAAGGAAAAAGACATAGCTTCAGCTTTCAATTGTTCATCATCTCTGACCAAGCCACTTCTGACATTTTCTGTTGTAAAAGCTAAATATATGCTCCTGAGTCCCCTTTACTACTAAGCCAAGCTGACTTTTTCTTAAATTATTTTGAAACTTTGTGGGGAAAAAAAGATTAAGAAATCATACATAACAAGGGCACCATGTCTTGCCCATGGCAAGGTGTGGAGACCCATTTTAGCCCTGCATCACAAGACTTAGCCTCTGCATAAATTTGAAAATATACATCTCCCTGCATTGTATAAAAGAATGAAATCAATGAAGATGCCTCCCCTCCCCTCACAAAGCCTTCAAACATTCCATAAACAGAGCTCCTGTTGACTTTAATGGGAGCTCTGTACATTGAAGGTTTTGGGATGGGGCTTCTAACATTTTCCAGTGACCAATATTAGTTCAGAAGAATGACAGATGTTCATAGTACCATTACTGTATATATGCCTTGTAACCGACTTAAAGGGCTTCTGCACTGAGCTTAATTAAAAAAAAAATGAAGGTTATGTTAAGTTCCTTGCCTTACACCCTCCATTATAATGAATCAAATTTTTTTTTGGTAAAAGTTCTGTCAGTTTAATAAATTTTTCTCTGCATTTCTTTTTTCCATCTTTTGTCATTTTTGTCTCAGAACTCTTGGCACTATCCTGCTCCCAATGAAGTCAATGGAAAGACTCCTAATAGCTTAAATGGGAGCAGGATTAGCTCCTTTGGATGAAAATGAGTTTGTCAAAGCTCCTAGGGTATTTGTGGTACTGCACACATGTTTTATAGTAACTTTTATATTAATTTTTGCTTGGCAGATAATCCTTGATGATAAAGCATGATTCTAGAGAGCTGCCAGGTCAGGCGATCCTTTGGCAGGGCAGAAGGATGTGAAATTATTAGTAGCTGCAGGCTAAATCTTCATCAACTTCAGTAAGGGAGAGCATGATTGCTGTAAGAGTGGCCTGGTCAGCCAGTCACAAATAGAGCACCCATAGCATCAGCCAGCTCTGGCTTTGCACACCTCAAATGCTTCAGTGACAGTGAGGCTCTTCTGCAAAATGGGCCACAGACCCAAAACACATTGTGGCCTCCCGAGTGTAATTACTAATATTATGGGTAAAGGATTGTCTGGTTTGTTTTACATCTGGTTTATTTGGTTCAGTTGGTTACTCACTAAAAGCTACTGTTTATTTGACTTCCAAACCATCGGTGTCTATTGTAACCTGGCACTTAGCAAGTGTCCATTTTATTTTTCCTCCAACCATAACATGCATATTGTTAATCTTAAATCTTTTCCTGATTACACTTACAATTCACAAGTCCCACACTGTCAGTTACAATTTTCTTTGGATGAGAGTCAGGTTGTCATTTACCAGAGACTATTGTGACTATTGAACACATCAAAATAACATTATGATTCTAAGTAAAAAAAGAAAAAAAAAAGACCAAACAATTTTAGACAAAATACAACAGTGAAAACTCCATCCTGGTAGCTTGTGGCACCACAGCTCCTGCAATGTCCTCAAGGCTCTCATTCCCTAAGCCAGAGCAGCTCAGTTACATTGTACAGCACCTTCTGCCCATGGAGCAGCACTGATGTAAACTTCTGGGGTCACTCTCTGGAGTGTCTGGGACAGGATTCAAAGGTGAGTGAGGGTGATGATCGTGATAGAATGCAGTGGTGTTTAATATGTAAGAGGCCTGCCTGAATTGACTTTTAGTTCAGTCTAGGTATGTTGAGAAAACACCTGTTTCTTGGTTAAATTGTTTTTATTAGGATTGATGATAGAGTGCTTGTCTTCTTATACAGGAGTGGAGAAACACTTCCTCTAAAGAGGTTAAATAGGCAGAGAGAAGAGTTGACAAGAAAATATATAACCAGTTTTAGTTAACTTACCGTCATATATTGCTGAGTTGGTAAACTAGTAATCAAGTCTGCAGTGCAACCGGCACTGCTGGTTAAGCATTGCACCTCTCCATTCTACCTGTATCAGTCCTCACAGCCACCATCTGTCGCTCCTTGAATTCTATCCTATACAGATATACTTCCTTCAGAAAAGTGCTCAGATAGTATTACAGATGAGGGCAATATAAATAACTGGGAAGACAGACTTTAGTTTGTTATGCCTTCTGATATGCAAAGTATTTGTATATTAGAATTAAGTCTCATATATAAAATATCAGATTTAACACCAGGAAACAAAATCTACTCAAAATATCTGATGCTATTTAGCAAACCTTCATTCACATTTAATTCACAATATTAAATTACACACTCAAATGTAATTGATTCCTTAAATTGAACTTTTTTTCTTATTGTGTAGAATTACTATAGAATTTCTATATTTTATAAAAATACAGAAGATGTGAATATGAGTTACAATAATTACATAGCTACAAAATCCATTTTGGACACTTATCTTTTGTGTTTTAAAATAACTGGCCTGTTTATATAGCATTTACTGTCATATGAGCCATTTTTCTTAGCTGTTCACTTTCCCCATGTGTTAACACAGAAGCTTCATGAGTAATTTTGTTTTCTAAGATAAAGGACATGTTTGTTGGAGCTAAACAGGGTAACAAGTTAAAACAATTTTTCCCTGTGCACTTATCCCTTTCTGTACTCTCAGTCCAGGTCAGCAATAATAGTATAACTATAGACATGTATCTTTCCAATTACTGAAGGAAAAAGACACCATTGGTGGCTAAAATAAAATAGGAAAAAGAATAAACAACTCACCTGGGTAAATACTTTATCAACTGTCCATCTTTTCTGGAAAGTCTGGGTCAATACAATTAGTTACATTAAAAATAAAGATAAGAGAAGAGACAGAATTGTTCAGTGTGTTGGCCTGCTCCACTTCTTTTGATTTCTATTTCTGTCCCTTAAGCACAGAATCTGATTAGTATACTTAATTCCATGCTGCATCAGGAATGGTCTACCTTTAATCAGCCTATTGGCATCCACCTTCTTTTTCCTTCACATAGTTTACAGATTGAAAGATAAGACTTAGAGATGTTTTCGTCACTATTCAAACTTTTAAGATACTTATGTAGAAAATTATCATACAAAATTCAACTTTTGATAGTTATTCACCATGTTAAAATGTGCAGCTCACCAAAATTTGCAAATTGAAACTACTGACATTTTATTTTTCACAAATTTACATCTTCACTATAATATATTTTAGTTACAAGAAATATGCTTAAGGGAAGGGTCCTGGTACACATTAAATATTTAGTTTTTGTATACAAATGTCACTTCTGAAGCCTCAGGTCATATATGCTATATTTTTAATGTGAGTTTATCCTGATTGCTGTGTTTCCTCATATATTTATGTTCTATTGTTCTGTCTGTTTTTGACTTTTATACATCCAGTGTATATATATATATATTGCATGCATTATATTTGTATGTTTATAATTACAAGGTATTTTATACAAGATGAACATTAATAGTAATCAATGTAAAAGTGAATAGGAAATAAAAAGTATTTATGTCCTCAGAAACAGCCCTTCTGCTCTCCCATTTCCATACAATCACAAATGCTTTTCAGTTTGCTTTTGTATCAAAATGAAAGTGTTTTAAACAAGCTTCAAGGAGGTTTCTTTCGTGTCAGACATTGAGCCATAGAGATGCATCCTTATTGGGATTGAAGCAAAACCACTTAACAGTATTAGTAGTTCAATCAACGGTATTTTTCTCTCTCCATGAGTACTGGTCCAATGCACTGTCATGGTTCTCAGGAATACTCTGCTGCTATACGTGCACTCTACTGAGTGAGACACAAAACATTAAAGTCAGTCTAATCTTGGTCAAATTCCAATCTGAGTAATTATATTCTGTCTACTTTAATTCCCCATGTTAAGTTTCAGTTGTGTACATTCCTAATGTGCTGCAGTGCCGCATTTCATGCAAGAGGTGGCAGCATTTCAGTTAGCTGATCCATGTATACAATATTTGCAAATAACTATTCTTAAGAAAATTACTATATATGTGGAGCAGATATTTTTCAAACTAAAATTCAAAATGAAAATTCCAACAATAACAAATTTCATTTTAACTAAGAGGCAGCAGAATACAAAGAAAGCCGTGGCAAACAGCTAGCTAAAATAGCCTTTATTTCCTATAATAACATACAAGTATTAATGTTTCATTCCAGTCATGTTTGATATATTAGATAGAGGGAATGTAGCCGTTTTGACACATCAGCACCTTTTTGAAATGTACAACTTTTGGGATGAAGAGAAGGGATGATCATTTACATGTAGTAGAAAAGAGGGTTAAAAAGGCCTGTCAGTTTAACATTTATATAATGTAATATTTTCAAAAATAAATTTCCTTATATGTTACAAATAAAACCAGAGAGGATTAAAACTGAAAGATTATTAAACCATTACTTTGTTTTTCACAATTTACCTTTCATTGTCTTTGGGGGAAGAAATACAAAAATAGTATAAGTGACTAGAAAATAATGGGTCTTTCAGGTTCTTTTACAGTAGTACATGAGTTCTCAAATTTTTCATAGTGTGTCTGCATCTTAAGAAAGAGATTGTCTTGTGGATGCCTGCCTATGAGCTTCACTATTCATTCTATCCCTATGGCAACTAACATGAAAAACTATTATTAGGAAAGGGCTGTACATCCATATTTTTAGCTGCTTAATGTGATAAGTGATTTGTCTTTACAATGTCTACATTTGCTCTTCACTTCTTCTCCCCCTCCTGTCTATTCCAGTCTCTCCCCTTGCTTATCATTCTCCACTCTGTCATCATCATCCCCTGCCCATGCTTACCTACATCACTTCGTCCTCCTCTCTCCTTCACATGCTGCCTATTATTCTTTTGCTTCTCTGAACATGCTGCTACCTAATTCCCTTCTCTCTACCCTCCTCTGTCAATAGGAGCAGCAGTTTCATCGGTGACACTTGGTTCCAGTCCTACTGGTGGCTCTGGCCCCTGAAAGCATTTCCTATATCCTCTCCACTTGTGTAGCAGAAGCTCCTAGTGTAGGCAGATAGTCTAGCTCATCCTCCTCTCTTCCAGATGATTTAACAGACATCCAGGTTCTTCAACAGAAGATGCAGCTGGAACAAAGGTCAGCAACATATGACTTGTTAGCTCTTTGTGGGCCACCAGAAGTGCTGCCTGGACCACAGTTTGAGAACCACTCTGATAATAGTAAAATACTGCAGTGTTTGCATTGCAAACAATGCACAGGAAAATTTATTTCTACTGGGATTTGAAAAAGGCCATACAAATATTCCTGTTGGACTTAGACTCTGTAATCAATGAAAGAGTCACTTGCGTCAAGTTTGGTCTCACATTGTCTACAAAGACATCTAATTCACTCTGAATAAGTAAATCCCATAAAGCAATACACTATTTCTATGTATGAGTCTTATATAATTACAATTTCTTCAGGTCATTTGCATTTCTCTTCAGACCACTACATTCTCTGTGTAATCACAGTTTATTAAATAAAAATCTTTCCAGTATGATGCTTATTAGTAGCAACGTCTCGGTATCCTTTTGCTATGTTGCTCGTAAGCGGTTATTGCTGTTACTGGGAGTGTCGTCTGACCTAAGGCGTATGAAGTGTTAAGGGTTTTTCAGAAGGGGTGGGGCAGCCATGTTGTGTGTGTGGGGAGTTCTGGAATGGGGGAACCCGAAGTATGGGGGGAATGAAGTAGCTGAAGAGAGGATTACTTACCCTGTGCAGTAACTGAGGTTATTCGAGATGCGTATCCCTAGAAGTGCTTCACTGTAGGTGCGGCAGTGCCCCTTGCGCCTGGGATGGGAGATCTTTGGTAGCAGTGCCCATTGGCCCACACATGCACTCCTCCCTGTCTCACGCCATGAGCGGCATGCATATATAGCGCTGTGTGGTCCAACCGTCTCTCCCCTCCTCCCCCCGTTCCTTCTCTACTGCAGAGCTTATCTTTCAGCTCCGAAGCAGAGGGGAGGGCAGGTAGTGGAGCACCAATAGGGACACACATCTCGAAGAACCTCAGTTATGGCACAGGGTGAGTAACCCTCTCTTCTTCGAGTGATGTCCCTACGGGTGCTCCACTGTAGGTGACTATATAGCAGTACCTCTAGTTGGAAGACTGAGGCTTTGGAACGGCATTTAATGCAGATGATAGGACAGTGTATCCTAGTAGGGCATCTGATGTTGCGCCAGGGGTATTTGCATAGTGTTAGCTAAAAGTATCTGTGGAGGCCCAGGAGATCACTTTGCAAATGTCAGTAATTGGGACAAGGTTGAGAAAGGCAATCGAGGTGGATAGAGTGTCAGTGTTGAATGTGCTTTAGTTCTAGTGGGTTGTCGATTGTGTAATTGGTAGGAAAGGTGTATACATTGCGAGATCCACTTAGAAATGTGTTGTTTGGAAATGATTATGCCTTTTGATCTTTTCGCTGTTGAGAAGCATGTGGCGATTTTCAGAAAGATTTACAATTTCTGTCCAGGTAAAAGGTTAATGCTTGCCTGACGTCCAATATGTGTAACTGCTTCCTGCTGGTTGCTATGTGGTTTTGGGAAGCAGCAGGGAAGGTGGATAGGTTGATATAAATGGAAGGAAGATGGTACCTTGGGTAAGAATTTTGGATGTGGACATAATGTGACCTTGTCTTTATGAAAAACTGTGTGTGGGTGGGGGTATGCCAGGAGCACACCAATTTCTCCTACCAGTCAGGCAGAGGTGATGGTGAAAATAAATGCTGTTTTCAGGGACAGATGAATATAAAAGCATGTTGGCATGGGCTTGAACAATGATCTGGTGAGACAGCACAAGATGAGGCCATAGTCCCAAGCTGGGGTGGGATCTCGTATGTGAGGGTCAAGGTTTTGGAGACCTTTCAGGAATCTCATGAGTGAGTGGGTGAAAATGGGAGTGGCAGGCTATACTGGAGTGGAATGTTGTGATGGTGGCCAAGTGTACACAAATGGAACTGGTGGATAACCCTGATCTTTAAGATGTAAAATATAGTCTAGGATGAGCGGTAAAGGAGCATTCATTGCTGAGACGTGATTGGTGGTGCACCAGGATCGGAACCGTGTCCATTTTGGAGATAAGTGCAGCAAGTTTTATCATGTCTGCTATTCAGGAGGACGTATTTTACTGCCTCTGAACAGGTCACCTTCGAATCCCAAAACCATATAGGATTCATGCTTTCAGATGGAGGAGCTGTGGATTGGGATGGAGGATTTGACCCGCACCTGTGAGAGGAGGTGTGGAATTGGTCGTAGAGTGATTTGAGGACATACGGTCATGTGAAGGAGGTAAGTATACCAAATCTGTTGTGGCCATGCTGGAGCTATGACGACGACTCAGGCTCAGACACCTTGCATCTTATGACGCACTCAAATATAGATGCCGAGAGAGCAGAGTTGCTTGAGAGTCCTTTATGTAGGGACTCATCGGTGCATTTGATGAATAATTTGGGACCCTCAAACGGTAGGTCTTCAACAGTAGTTTGTGCTTTTTTAGGGAGTCTGGATAGGTGTGGCCATGATGCTCAATCTCATCACTACAGCTATCGTGCTGGAATGGGCAGGTGTATCAGCAGAGTCCAAAGATGCTTGTAAACCCATAAAAGCCAACAGGTGTCTTTCAGATACGAGTGCCTGGAGTTGCTCTTCCTTGTTGTCGGGAAGATCCTGGCAGAATTCCTGTATCTTAGTTTACATAGTTGTATTTGACCATGAGAGCCTCATCATTGGAGATTCGGAACTGAAGTGCGGCACAGGACTAAGCTTTGCAACTAAATAGGGCCAGTCACTTCCAGTCCCTGTCATAAGGGATTGACGTTGAGTGGTATTGGCATCCCTTCTCATGAACTGCATGGCAACCAGAGAATTTGGAGTGGGATGAGAAAAGAGAAATTCCATGTTTTTAGTGAGGTTGTAATATTTCTTGTCCACTTGCTTGCAGGTTGAAAGGATGGATCCAGGGGTCTACTGGAGAACCTTGGCCGGGGGTCCAAGAAGGCCTCATTGGTAGGGAGGGCTACCTTCGTCAGTGTAAAGGAGTGCAGGATATTGAGCAGTTTGTGCTGTTGCTCTCTCACTTCCTCCAGAGGGATCTGGAGGGAGTCTGTGATCCTGCCAAACAGCTTCTGGAAATGTTTGAAACCGTCGGCTGACATAGGGGGTGGAGGCATGCTAGTCTCACTGAGGGAAGAGGAAGAAAAATGGAGTGGTGGTGTAATCTCCTCCTGTTCTTCTTCATGGTCCTCTATTGGGAGTGGATCGGCCTCTGGTGGTCAAGAAACTGATGAAGATGGCAAGCATGGGTGTGTCCGGCTCTGTTCTATAGGAGTGTTTGGAAATTGTGCTCTGTACATGGCCCATGGACCCCAATATCGCCAATGTAGAGGGATTGGCAAGTACAGTTGCATCCATGGCGGTCCATACCAGGGCCATGGTTTGGTTCTGGTTTGTGAATAATGAGGATGTGTAGAGGACGCTTTTTGTGCCTGTTCTGAATATGAGGATGGGACGGAGTATTCCTCCTCCTCTTCCTCACTAGGGAAAGGTGGTACTGTCCTCAGAGGGGAAAGGGAGCAGTGCTGTGACTCTGGAGAAAAGGCATGAGTGGAGGGAGCTTATGTCTGGGTAGCGGTGAATCAGGCATATCAGATACCAGCACATCTTTAGGGTATCTGAACTCCTGTGGAGGAGGGAGGAGGAGCATCATCAACACTAATGGTTGTGTCAGTGCTGAGAGAGGTGTGCATTCTTTGGATCGGCCAGCAGATAAGAGTAGAAGGC